GGGAGGGGCAGAAACAGAAGGAGACAAAGAATCCAAAGCAGGCTCCAGGCTCTGAGCCCTCCGCACAGAGCCCGACAGGGGGCTCGAACCCGTGGACTGCGAGACCATGACCTGAGCCGAAGTCGGATGCTCAACTGACTGAGCCACCCAGGTGCCCCAAAGGCCATATATTTTTAAGCAGACTTTGAAAATTTCAAAGTAAGATAATCAGTTGTCAAAGGGAGCAGCCCATGGCTGTCCCTCCATTTGCACTTCTTCTCTTGGACTGCCTCTCTAATGTTTTGGAGAATCTGGTCATTTCTTTTTTAATGTTTATTTATTTTGAAAGAGAGAAAGAGACTGTGTATGAGCAGGGGGAGGGGGAGAGGGAGGAGAGTGAGAATCCCAAGCAGACTCCACACTGTCAGCATGGAGCCCCGATGTGGAGCTTTATCTCACGAACTGTGAGATCATGACATAAGCCAAAATCAAGAGTTGGATGCTTAACGAACTGAGCTACCCAGGTGCCCCAAATCTGGTCATTTTTGGTTTTACTTATGACTCTGGTTATACATCTTGGTTTTTCCCATTTGTTAAATGAGAATGACCATACTTTAAGCATCAGCAATTTCTCAATAATATTCTGAAGGTCAATGAAAGTGATTAAATACTGTAAATGGGACTTCTTGAGGAAGGCATGAGGCCATGGTAATTAGTTCCATGAATACGTAATTGTCAAGTCTTAGTTTTTAGATTGTCCTATTTCTTTCACAAGTCCTTTGTTTGAACATTTTTTAGTATATAGATATCCATAAGTATCTTTAGTTGATGATTATTAAGAACACTTGCAATGTACATATCAAATGTTGATTTGAACATGGGCTTTGAAATGTTTCATATATCATTACCTACCTTAGTATTTGTCCCAAGACTCTTAATAAATCCTAGGCTTGAAAAGTCAACTCTGACAAGTATTGTAATCAGATCAGTAATAGTCACTATGTCTTCTGAGAGTCACAGACATTCCAGACCTCAGTGATGCCTCTTTTTCTTTTGATATATATTTCTTTGCTTCTCTTTTCTTTCTCTGTCTCAAAATTCTTTTTTCTCTTTTCTCTTTCCCATTCTTTTGCGTTGTCTATATAGACACTAATATTTCAAAATGTTTGTTATTCACATCTAGAAAAGCTGATTTGAAGAGACCTAATTTGTATGGATTTCATGTTTATATTACTGGGCTGAGATTTTAAATTTATGTTTGAAAGAAATTTGTGTTTTAAGCTTTTTATTTTGATTTCCACAGTGAATTTTATGAGTATCATGCACTAATGATGGAAGAAGAAGGAGCAGTGATTGTTGGGCTGCTGGTTGGCCTGAATGTGATAGATGCTAATCTCTGTGTAAAGGGAGAAGATTTAGACTCACAAGTAAGTGAAAGTGACCAAAACCAAATGCAGAGAGTTTTTAGTTTGTGCTGTTCCTCTTGCATCCAGTTTACAACTCTAAATTGTAAACAGTGCTATTAAACATGAAAGGAAACTTAAGAGTGATATTCAGTTGCATGTTAAATGTACTTCTAATATTTCTCCCCTTTAAATAAAAATAACATTATTTACTTTAGGTTGGAGTGATTGATTTTTCCATGTATTTAAAGAATGAAGAAGATATTGGAAATAAAGAAAGGTACGATTTTCCTAAGTTATTTCACATGTTGTATTTTCTGTGGAGCTCTTTACAAATCACCATGGGGTCCATCTACTGATAATGTAGTTTTTATTTACTTTTTTGTGCATAGTTCCTGCTTTATTTTGTTTTGCTTCCATATAAAAGTTTCACAAAGCAAAAATCACTTAGAAGGAGGCTTTAATACGAGGTATGACTTTTGGTCACACCTGTTCTTGAGACCTATTTTAATAATCAGCTGTTTTTTGTGGTAAAAGAGATGAAAACTTATTCACAAGTTTACAAATGCTGGTTCATTTCAAGATCCAGTGTTTAAATTTAAGATCTACTCATTCCAGCTAAGAGAAAGGATAACTATGTAGCATAATAGCTGTGCTAATTATTGCTACAGTTGGAGTCCTATCACAAATGTATCAAAATAATATGTACACCTTAAATTTATAGTTATATCAAGTATATTTCAATAAAAAATATACTGATGCAAAAGAAATTCTTAAAAAAAATTTTTTTTAACATTATATTTATTTTTGAGACAGAGAGAGAGAATGAGTGGGGGAGAGAGGGAGACACAGAATCCGAAGCAGACTCTAGGCTCTGAGCTGTCAGCACAGAGCTCCATGTGGGCTCAAACCCAGGAACTGTGAGATCATGACCTGAGCTGAAGTTGGACGCTTAACCAACTGAGCCACCCAGGCACCCCGTCTTTTTTTTTTTTTTAATGTTTATTTTATTTTTGAGAGAGAGAGAGAGAGAGAGACTGGGCATGAGTGGGGGAGGGGCAGAGAGTGAGGAAGACACAGAATCTGAAGCAGGCTTCAGGCTCTGAGCTGTCAGTACAGAGCCTGACAAGGGGCCAGAACTCATGAACTGCCAGATCATGACCTGAGTGGAAGTCAGCACTTAACTGACTGAGCCTCACAGGAGCCCTGATGCAAAAAGAATTCTTAAATATATTTTTTAATGGTATTGTTAAATAGATTACTTGTTAATACTAGATTTAATAAAGGTTATAATTAGTACACCGTTTACTGCCTCCTTAATGTAAAAATGTTGAATTTTATTTTAAAAGTAAGATAATGTGGGGTGCCTGGGTAGCTCAGTCTGTTGAGCATCCAACTTAAATGATCTCGGGGTTTGTGGGTTGGAGCCGCATGTTAGGCTCTGTGCTGATGGCCCAGAGCCTGTAGCCTGCTTCAGATTCTGTGTCTCCCTTTCTCTCCGCCCCTCCTCTGCTCACACCTTATCTCTTCAAAAAATTAATAAAAATGTTAAAAAAATTTTTTAAAATGAAAGCAAGATAATTTTTTTGCCATTATGTTTTACAACAGTTCTAGGTGATGTAGATACTTGTTTGGTCATCCATTGAACACCTTTTCAACTGACACAAAACTACTTTTCCCCATCTTTAGGAATGTTCAAATTGCTGCCATATTAGACCAGAAGAATTATGTTGAAGAATTAAACAGACAACTGAAGTAAGTATTATGGATACTTGAATACTTCGTACATTTGTGACTATTGTCTTAGGGGTTTTCTTCATCCTTTTTAGGTCAGCTTTACCCTATTCCTTCCTACTAAACATCTTTGAGAACGGGTTGAGGGAATAGAGAGTGGAAATTAAGAATACAGAGAAATCTTGGAGATAATTAATTTTCAACAAAAAATGAGAGTCAGATTTTCAGATAGGACCTTGAGAGAATTTAAAGATAGAATTTCTGAAGAGAGGTAAAAAAAAAAAAAAGGATACAATTTCAGGAGCATCTAGGTGGCTCAGTTGGTTAAGTGTCCCACTCTTTTAAAAAAAAAAATTAAGTTTATTTATTTATTTTGAGAGACGGCACATAGAGTGTGGGGAGGAACAGAGAGAGAGAAAGAGAGGGAGAGAGAGAGAATCCCAGGCAGACTCTGCAGTATCAGCACAAAGCCCAGTGCGGGGCTTGAATCATGAACTGTGAGATCATGACCTGAGGTGAAATCAAGAGTCAGTCATTCAACCACCCAAGCCACCCAGGCACCCTTAAGTGTCCCACTCTTGATTTTGGTTCAGGTCATGATCTCACAGTTTGTGAGTTTGAGCCCCACATCTGCACTGTCAGTGCAGAGCCTGCTTGGGATTTTCTCAAGGGGCACTCTCTTCCCCCTTCCCTAGACATGGACAGGCTCGCTCTCTTTCTCTCTCTCAAAACACATAAGTAAACTTAAAAAAAAAAAAATTCAATTTCAAACTTAACCCTGTACCCTTGAGAACAAAAGGCTAGATATAGTGGAAGTTTATATCATTCTCATGATTCGAAAATTCATTTTTCCTACTTCAACAAGCTTCATGTGTAAATGTGGCTGTTGCCTCCCATGGTGGAATTTTTTTCCTTACAGTGTCACCTGGCATTGAAGCTGTCAGTGAATACTCTGGGAAGAATTTCAGAGATCTGAATGTAAAATAGTATAGTGCAGTTCTGTCTAATAGAAGTATAATGTGAGTTGTTATACAGATAATTTAAAATTCCAGTAACCATATTAAAAGAAACTTGAAATTATTTTAGAACTATATTTTATTCAATCCAGTATATACCCAAAATATTATCATTCAGTATAAAAACTTTTCATGAGATACCTTATATTCTTTTTTTGTATTGTCTTCACAATCCAATGTGTATTTTACACTTAACAACACATTTCATTTTGGACAAAATAGCATAGGTATAGTGAGGAATCTTTGATATGTAGTTAGAAATGGACTGTTCCCATTAATTAAAATGAGTAGCAAAAATGGCAATCTTTGGGTGATGGTATTATGAATAATTTTTTATACTTTTATGATTTTCTAAGTTTCAGTAAGCATAAAATATAATTAAACATTTTCCCCTTAGAAGAAGAAACTAAAGCTGTAATTCTTGCTTTCTCTGTGAAGTTGGATAGGAAAGATCTTCTATTTGTGCCTTTTTTTAAATTTTTTTTTTTTTTTCAACGTTTATTTATTTTTGGGACAGAGAGAGACAGAGCATGAACGGGGGAGGGGCAGAGAGAGAGGGAGACACAGAATCAGAAACAGGCTCCAGGCTCTGAGCCATCAGCCCAGAGCCCGACGCGGGGCTCGAACTCACAGACGGTGAGATCGTGACCTGGCTGAAGTCGGACGCTTAACCGACTGCGCCACCCAGGCGCCCCTATTTGTGCCTTTTTTTAAAGGAGTTTTAATGTTCATACGAAATATGTGTGTATGTATGTGTATTTAGTGATTTATATTTCTGAGATTGAGATTATATTTCTAAATGCAACTTTGTATTCCTTATTTATTTAATTTTAAACCTTTATTCCCTTTTGGGAGCAGGTAATGTATTCACATAGTTTAAACTTCAAAAAACACACACAAAAAAAGTCTTCCTTTCACCTGATCAACTACCTGGTTTCCCTTTTCAGGAATCATTAATAAGTTCTTGTGTATGCTTCCAGAGATACTTTATACAAATAGACAAGAGTATGAATATATATTCTTAAAGTTCTCACCTTCCTCTCTTTTTTTTTTTTACACATAAAGTAGTATAA